CTAACACAAGTGCAGCCCCTGGAAGGCTGTGCCTGCTCATATCTCCAAAATCCCATCATGGCTCAAGCAGAGCTGTTCAGGGCAACTTATGCTCTTCAAGGGTGAGGAGCTGCCAGGCTTTCCGAGCTAGGGAGCAGCACAGTGTCACCAGTCCCATCCCAGCAAGCTCCAGCCCCTTCCCCAGTGCCCACACTGCCCACCCAATGCCCCCCCACTCCTCCCCTTTCCCAGCCACAGACACTCAGCTTGGGGCACACCTTTATATAAAAAGTAAAGTTTATTGCCATTTCTATCTAAATTTACACAACTGTATCACCGCTTCTGACGTTGAAAGGGACATCCTGCCACTTCCCAGAGAGCTGCCCAGGGAAGGTGGGAGCCCAGGAGCCCAGGCCAGCACCCCTCAGCCCGGGGGCTGGGGGGCAGGCGGCTCTGCCCGGCTGTCAGGCCCCATCCCGCAGCGCTGCCGCACGGCTCGGTCACGGTGGGTGCCAAGGGGTGAATCCATCCCCTCCTTGGGCTCCTGGCAGTGCCAGACACCCAGTTCCAGCTGCTCATCCTTCCAGTCTTGCCTTGAATCCCCCCAGATGGGCACCCCACAGCCTGGTGGGCACTGCTCCTGCGGGTGTTTGTAAATAGATGCAGCTACAGAAGAGGCCCAAACTAACAAAACAAGCTTCTCTTTGTAATCCCCACACGGGTGTGTGTACAGCCACGCTCTGCGCCGCAGCTGCTGCTCAGTCAGGTCTGGGCTCCAGTGGGCTCCTGGGTGGCGAGCGGGACACATCTGCCTTGCTCACTAAACAACGGTCTTCCTCCAGGCCAGGCTTTGCCAGAACAAGCCCCTGGCACGGTGCAGCACATGCACAGGACCGGGCACGTGCCCCTTCCAACCGTGGCTTCACATTAAAGTGCTGAAGGCCGCTGGCACTGCCAGGGGGCTGCAGATGCCCAGGTGCCCAGCACAGCCAGGGATGGGCAGGCTACAGATTCACTCCTGGCACACGGCAGGTTGGATGGGGAGGGGTCAGCTGCCCAGGTCTCCCTCGCAGAAGAGCATCCTCGTGCAGGCCAGCCGCTGGCTCTGCTGGCTGGCCAGGGCTGCCCTGGGCCACAGCTCAGCGCCGTGCTCTGGCAGTCCTTCGTGTGAGATGAAGGCGGAAACGATTTTGCAGGAGATTAAGTAGAAAGAGTTCTGTGGCTCTGCCCACCCCGAGGACAGAGCCACCTTACACCGCAGAGCCCCCAGAGTGCTGAGCTGGGGCAGTTGCCCCAGGGCTCTGCTCCTCTGGGCACAGGACCTCAGCGGGGAGCCGGGACTGGAACTTCTCCAGCTGCTCAGGGCTGGCGAGGGTCTTCAAAAGGCTGTTTTCACGCTCCAGCTGGGAGTTTTTCTCCAATAGTTCTTTTATTTGCTCTTTCAGGACCTCCACCTCCTCCCGCACCGCGTACATCAAGTGATTTTTTACAAGGTCCTGCAAAAGACCATCAAAGGAACCGATCACTTATGTCCTACGGGTTGCTGTGGGAAAATGCAGCCTTTGGTAAAAACGTAGCCAGGGACTGGCGGTCGGAAGATCTCGCGCTGTACGGAAAGGTAGGGCCCCCTCCCCCCTAGATAGCCAATAGGGCTTAGTACGTGAAGTAAGGAGACAAGTGATGCTGCTAACTCTGGGTACAACCCAGGGTATAAAAAGCTGTGATACGCATTAATAAACGCCATTTTGCTATCTACCACATTGGTGTCTGTGTGCTGATGTGCCCAGCAGCCCGGATGGGTCGCCGAGTTGCTACTGAACCAGGTCACCACGCCTTTAGAAGGCAACAGGTTGCTCCCGCTCTGCCCCCAGCCAATCGACAAGTGAGTGCCACAAAGGCTTTTCTTAAAAGCTATTGTCCCTCCCTATCCCACTCTTGGTACCCGGGCCATGACCCAGTGCTCACCCGGTGTATCCCCCCCCCCCGCCAGTACCCATTGCATTCCTTGGGTCCCCCATCGCCCAAGTCTCGCTGCCTCCGGAGCCACCCTCCAGCTCCCTAACACCCCCCATGGGACCTGGCCTGGTCACCCCCACATTCCCGGAGGGTTCTTCCCACGGCTCCCCCCCAGGCTCCCTGCGCACTGCAGCGCTGCCGGAGCCAATGAGCTCAGCCAGCTGCTGCAGGCAGACAAAGGAGCTGCTCTGCCCAGCAACAGGCTGGGGAGCAGAGACCCCCCTCTCCGGGTAAAGCACCCACCGGGGACTGGGGACCCCCCCCAAGCAAAAGCACCCGATGTAGGGGAAATTCCCGAAGAAAGACGGGAGAGGAGTAGCACTATAGCTCACCATTGCCTGCTCGATCTTATTGTCGATGGCCACCACACTGGCTCCGGAGGCACTGGAAGAGAAAGGAGAAGCAGAGCGTTAGCAGCGAGTCCCCGAGCACGCCCTTTTCCCGAGGAATTCGTGCACCGAGACACCCCCTCACCCCGGGCTGCAACGCACCGGGGCTGCCCCTTCACTGAGGATCAATGCAACAGACCCCCCAGTGCACGCGGAGTCCCCTGCAGCGGGCACAAGGCAGCGGGCACAAGGCAGCGGGCACAAGGC